GGCAGAAGTTTTTGCCTACTGATTCAATCTCTTTGTTAGTTATGGGTTTATTCCGACTTTCTATTTTTTTGTGACTGTCTTAGGTTTTCTGTTTCTCGAAATTTTTTCTAGGTTGGCCCATTTATTGATGTACAACTATTCACAGTACTTTTTATAGTCCTTTTTCTTTCTGTAGAATTGGTAGTAATGTCCTTTTTTCGTTTCTTAAATGAAATTAGTAATTTCAGATCTGATTTAATAATTTAGTAATTTTTTTTACTTAGTCTAGCTAAAGGTTAATTTTAATGTTTTCAAAGAACCAACTTTTGTTTTTGTTTATTTTTTCTGTTTTTTCTGGTCTCTATTTTATTCATTACATCCCTGGTTCTTATTTATCCTATAAGGAAGTTTGTACCTTTTGACCACCTATCCTAACCCCACCTCTAATAACCACAAATTTGATTATCTCTTTTTTATGAATTTGTTTTTCTGTTTTTATTTTATATTCCATATATAAGTGAGATCACATAGTATTTGCCTTTCTACTTCTGACTTAATTCACTTAACAATGCTCTCAAGGTCCATCCATATTGTTGAAAAGGCAGAATTTCCTTCTTTATTTTGGCTGAATAATAGTCCATTGTATACATGTACCCCATCATCTTTATCAGTTCTGTGGACACTTAGGTTGTTTCCATGTCTTGGCTATTATAAATAATGCTGCTATGAACATAGGGGTGTTGATAATCTCTTTGACATAGTGCTTTCATTTCCTTTGGATGTGTTCCCAGAAATGGAATTGATGGATCATATTGTAATTGTATTTTTTATTTTTTGAGGGTCCTCCGTACTGTTTTCCATTGTGGCTGCACCAATTTTCATTCCCACTAACAGTGAACAAGGGTTCTCTTTTCTGTACATCCTCATCAACACCTCTTATCTTTTTTATAATAACCATTCTAACATAATGGGAGGCGATATCTCATTGTAGTTTTGATTTGCATTTCCTCGATGACTAGTAATGTTGAGCACCTTTTCATGCACTTGTTGGCCATTTGAATGTCTTTGAGAAAATGTCTATTCAGGTCCTTTGACTATTTTAATTGGATTATTTTGAGGGTTTTTCTAATGAGTTGTCGGAATTCTTTATATATTTTGGATATTAACACCTTATCAGATGTATGGTTTGCAAATATTTTCCCCATGTAGTAGGTTATTTCATTTTGTCGATGGTTTCTTTGCTGTGCAGAAGCTTTTTAGTTTGATGTAGTCCCACTTGTTTATTTTGTTGCTTGAGCTGTAGGTGTCATATGTAAGAAATCATTACCAAGACTCATGTCAAGGAGCCTTTTTTCTATGTTTTCTGCTAGGAGTTTAATGATTTTTGGTCCTACATTTAACTCTTAATCCATTTTAAATTAATTTTTGTGAGTGTTGTAATATATGGGGTCCAGTTTTATTATTTTACATGTGATTATCCAATTTTCCCAGCACCATTTATTGAAGAGACTGTCCTTTCTCCATTGAGTATTCTTGGTTCCCTTGTCAAATATTAGTTGAACATATATGTGTGGGTTTATTTCTGCTTCATGGTATTTCTGATTAATGACATCACAGATAAATTCAAGCAACTGAACAAATGTTCAAGTGCTTATGGAGTCACCAGGTTGTGAGGTTACTGGGTCTGAAGGCATCCTTAAAAACTGAGCTTGGGAGGCAGTGGCCCTGCCTCCCTTTCCCTTGGTTGGATTCTTCCAAGGCTAGGAGCAATGACTGCTGCTTCTGGTCTGAGGAGACTGTGCTGAGAAGTCTCCTCATGCAGTATCCTTGGTGAGTTGCCTGTGAGAAATGACCTGTGCCATGTCTGTCTTTCAGCCACCCCACATCATGCAGCAGTGCTGCTGAAATCATGTCTGTGCTGTTCTTCTACATCATGAAATATAAACAGGAGGACCCAGAGAACCCGAACAATGATCGCTTCATCCTTTGCAAGGTAAGCAGGCATGGGAGCCCAGAGCCTACTCAGATGCTCGCTTAAACTCACTTTTATAGCCACCATGTAGCCCTAGCTGGTATTACTCAATGGTTGGAGTATCAGCTCACATACTGGTTCTATTCCCGGTCTAGGGCGAGTACCTGGGTTGCAGGTTCAATCCCCACCCTTGTTGCCGCACATGTGGAAGGCATCCAATCGATATGTCTCACATCGGTGTTTCTCTTTCTCCTTCCCTCCCTCCTACCCTCTCTTTGTCTCTTTCCTCCTTTCTCCATCCCTTTCTCTCTAAAAATCAATGGAAAAAATATCCTCAGGTGAGGATTAACAAAATATAAAGATAAAAATATAGCCACCGTGTGGCAACAAAACCTGAAATGGGCTCTATTTATCTTTTTATGTTCTTTTTCCTTTTCCGTATATCTTAGTCCATTCGGGCTGCTGTAACTAAATACACAGACCGGATGGTTTATAAACAATAGAAATTCATTTTTCACAGTTTTGGAGGCTGGAAGTCCAAGATCAAGGCACCGTCATGGTCGCATTCTGGTGAGAGCCCTCTACCTGGTCACAGACTTTTCACATGGAAGAAGCGGCCTCTCTAAGGCCTCTTTTATAAGGACACTAATCCCATTCTTGAAGGTTCGGCTCTTGTGACCTAATCACCACCCATAGACCCCACACACTTCCTAATACTATCACCTTGGGCATTAGGTTTTCAACATAATGTATTTTGGGGGGACACGAACATTTAGGAGCATAGCACCTTATAAAGATCTAAAAGGTGTCCTGGGGAGGACTGTGTGGTATGAAGGATGACTTGTGGCAAGTAGCCACCCTTCCTTTCCTTTGGTGGTTCCCCTCCTCACCCCACCTAGCACTAAGTTCCCCTTGGCAGGGTCATGCTGCTGTCATTCTCTGTCACACGTGGGTAGAGGTGGGCAACATAGCGAGTCCAACTTGCTGAGCTTGAGGAAAATTGAATTGGATTTGAGGAACACCCTACCCTGCCAGTCAGCTTTCTCTTCCATTTCTCTGCAGATCTGACTTGACATTAATGGAGGACTTTCTCATTACATTAGGTATAGTGTCAGGTACCTCATTACATTGGGTGATGGGAAAGAAACGGGACGTTAAAAGTAAGATCGACTTAGAAGAATGTATAGCTCTGTGCAGCTCTTTGATGCTATCTGAAAGTTTGCTGTATCCTGAGCTATTTATTTGTTTTTCATCTTCACCCGAGGATATGTTTGTGTGATTTTGTTTTGTTTTTGTTTTTTCATTGATTCTAGAGATGTTGCCTCCTGATAGGGGGTTGAACCACAACTTGGGTATGTGCCCTGACTGGGAATCAACCCAAAATGAGACCCATTGGTGCATGGGACAGTGCTCTAACCATCTGAGCCACGCCATTCAGGGTCTGAGCTAATCATTTAAAACTCAACTAGTAGAGCACCAGGTGCAAACACATCAATGTTTGTTTCTGTCTTTCCCTGTGTCTTCTACTCTCCCTAAAAATCAATGGGAAAATATCCTCGGGTGAGGATTAACAAATAATAATAAAGCCATAATAATAAAGCCAGGGAGAAGCAGAGTTGGTCTGAGTGCAGAGTCTAGGCTGGGTCCAAGGGCATGCAAGGCAACTGGGAACCAGAGCTTGTTACTGGAATAAGGTAGGAGCCATGGAGAAAAGAATGAAGCTAGAGAGACTTTAGTGGGACAGTTCTGTGAGGCTAGAGATGCAAAACAGAGAGAGAGTCTCTGGGGTCACAAGAGCACGTGGAGAAACCTAGGGAAGGTCAGGAGCCCTGAGAAGAGCAGAAGAGTTGGAATGAAAAGGAGAGGGATCTGAGACTAACAAATACCCATCCACGGTAGTGACAGCGCACTAACTTCTGCTTGATTGGAGCTGTCATTTGAATGGAGCAAGGGAGCAGGCAGACAAACCTGTAAATAGCTAGCTATCATATCAGATGGGGCTGAGCATCCTGGATCCAAAGGAAGTGCAGGAGGGGTAGGGCTTACTAGTTGAAAGAGATGGTCCAGGGCGGCCATGATGCTGACATTTGAGAATTTTGGAAAAGGCGAGGGAGTGAGCAATGTACCTATTTAGGCACAAGCCCACTGAGCACTTGCGGAAGAGAGAGCAGCAAGTGCTAAGACCCTGAGGCAGGCATGTGCCCGGATGTTCAAGGGGCAGCAAGGAGGCCAGAGCACCCAGAGTGGTTGGAGGGAGAGTAGGAGGTGAAGAGGGGCCAAAGTGGACAGGCCAGTGCAAGACCTTGGGCTCTACTTGGCACAAGATAGAATGACTTGGTCGGTTCTTGGCAGAGAGTAATGAACAGGCTCTCGAATGGCAGCTGTGTTGAGAATGGCTATGGAGGAGCAGGAAGGCCACTGCAGTGATGGAAGGGAGAGGAGTTTGTGACCAGGCCAAGATGGTGGCAGTGGGAGGATGAATAAGTTCAGTGGGCCTTAAGAACCCGTATTCTCCAAAAAGATTGAACATTTTCGTTTGTGTATGTGTGGATAAAAGGCCTTGTAAAATGACAAGGTTCATGCTTAGGTTTTCTGCTTTGCTTTTGGGCCCTATGTAGCCTGCAAAGTGGAGGAAAAGCCTCCCTCTATGTTCCCAAAGCTCCAGTTGCCCTTGCCATGTTGCGTTGAATACCTATGGTTCCCCTGTCTGTGATCTGAGATTTGGGGTGCATGTGGGTGTAGTGAAGAGGAAGTCACACCACAGGGTGGGAGGGGACATTCTGAGGAGCAGCCTGTTCTCAGTGCCAAAAGTTGGCCTGATACTTAACTTCCTGATACCTGTGTCCTTCATGTGCACCTAGGTTCATTTGGTTCCTTCTCTTACAGCGACTGGCATTTGTTGATGTGGCAATCGGATGGTACGGACCAGGACTGGGGACTGCGTGTGGGATGGCATATACTGGCAAGTACTTTGACAATGCCAGGTAAGTTGCTTACCCAGAAACCACTTAACTGTCTCCATACAACACCAGACACTTTGGCTTTATTTAATCAAAGGTTTCTTTTTCTGAAGTGGTTCCACCTTTCTGAAGTCAGGCATATCAGTGCCTTTCTTACAGGGGCATGTGCTCAGATGCTGCTGAAATGGGAGCAAGGTGGAGGCTGGTGGCTGGGAGGGGGTGTTGTCCCAGGGTTGGCTATGGTTATGTGCATGTTCAGAGCCCCTCAGTTCCTGGTTCCAGCCCGGGTGGTCCTTCTGGAGGCATTTCATGCTTCCTCCACTACTCAGGCAGCTGCCCTGCTCCATTTCCCGTAAGTCTGTTGACATTTTTCATCTTTCATTATTGCCTCTATTAGTCCCTATCCTACATTTAATCACTTTTTAAAACATAACAGCATTTTCGTGGGGTCTGGGTTGTGTTTTATTGATATAAATGTTTCATGTTTCTGCTGCGGAGGAGTTTACCATTTGCAACAGAACATATGCTCCTGAGGTAGAATGTTTTGATTGTTATGATTATTGTAAATAAATTTGTAAGATCAGAAGTAGAAGGTGGCAATGCTTAAAATGGAGCTTACCAAAAAACTGTATATGTAAATGTTTGGGTGTTTAAGGGAGCAGCTTTCTTCCCATCCCCTCTTGTTTGTTGAGTCCAGAGAAGTGGCAGAAGAACCTAGAAATAGCTAGAATGAGAAAACTAGCCAAAGGTGGTGAACCCCGTCTCATGAGACCTCAGCTTTTAAAGCTGTGTTTCCTCAGCTGTCGAGTTTAAACAGGGTGGACAAGGAAAATAGTCTTAGGAACTTGATGATCTGAAGCAGCTGCCTCCGTCGGTTCCTTTGCTTCTCTCCATGAAATGTATTTGCTTGAGTGGCCCTGAAGAGACCCAAGCAGAGTCCTAAACAACTTTTCGCTTGCCCCAGCTACCGGGTGTTCTGCCTTTTGGGAGATGGTGAGTCTTGGGAAGGCTCCGTTTGGGAGGCATTGGCCTTCGGGTCTCACTACAATCTGGATAATCTCATGGCCATCTTCGACGTCAACCGCCTGGGCCACAGTGGCGTCTTGCCCATTGAGAACTGCATAGAGATCTATCAGAAGCGCTGTGAAGCCTTCGGGTAACTATCCTTCCTGTCTTATGTCACCTCTTTTCTGCCCCATCCCCCCTTCACCTTGTAACCTGGCCTCCTCCTTGGTTGATAGGTGGAACACTTACGTGGTGGATGGCCGTGACGTGGAGGCGCTTTGCGACGTGTTCTGGCAAGCAGCTCAAGTGAAGAACAAGCCCACTGCTATCATTGCCAAGACCTTCAAGGGCCGTGGCATTCCAAGTAAACAAGTGTTTCTTTTCAGCTTGGGGTTATTAAAAACATCTGTCTGCACAGAAGACAAGGCAGGAGACAGGCTGGCCAGGCAGACAACTGACTTAGTGCACAATGGCTATGCTTGAAATATGTGTGGAGGCTCTTGCTCTCCTTGGCTCTTACAGATAGCATGTCTGGTTACGGTGGAAGGGGAAGCCCAGACCCCCAGCAAGTGAGCAGTGATTTTTCTGCCTACACAAGAAAGTAGCTAGGAGGATAGTCCAGTTAGAGGACTGGCAGGGAATGAATCTCTGCAGGAGTGCAGTGTGAGAAGGTGCTGCTACCTACGTGAGCAGATATGTAAATAAGGGTGGACACAGACACAGACACCCATGCTTGCCTATGTCCACACTATCAGGGAAAACACAGGCAACTAGTAAAATGGTGCCTCTAGGAAAGGTAGCTGTGTAACATGGCCTGGGGGAAGGAAGGGGTTTTGAAAGTCTTCTTGCAGATGCCAAAGCTGACACCTAAAGTTCTCTCAACCTAAAGTTGTTCCTCTCAAATATAAATAGTTATAAAGAGTATGATTCCTGGTGTGTTTTGACATCAAAATTTTGTAATAAAACTGTTCTATAACTCCTCCCCAAAATACAGTCTTACTCTGGTATCCCCAGTTCAGGAAATGACCACCTGACCAATTTGCTTCTGGCAGAAACCTGGGTATCATCCTTGCCTCTGACTCTTCCCTTATTTGCCCCCTATACACATACCCAGTCCACCATCAACTCTGATTTCTGCCCCTAAAGTATATCTCAGATCTGTTCACTCCTCTCCATCTCTCCCTAACTGCTGTCTCCACACGCCAGTCCCCATAGGGCTGCTATGGTGATCTTTCTTCTTTCTTTTCTACAACACAGGCCTGACCAGTCGCCTCCCCCACTCCAACCCTTCAGTGGTTTCCCATCTTGCTTTGGACAAATCTCAAAACTCCTTATATGAATGGGATCCTCCATGGTCTGCCCTACCTGTCTCTCCAGCCTCATCTCCCTCACTTTCCCCAGCACATGGACCAGTGGCCCCCTCAAGAGCCTCTGGGCCTTTCGTCCAGGCTGTTCTTTGGGAGTGCAATACCATCTCAGGCTGTGCCATGTTTTTACTCTTGTGAATCCTTGGCTGACATCTTTTCCATCAGAATATCTTAAATATTTATGGAATAAACATCTTTTATTCCTTTGGTTGCAGGCGTTGAGGATACAGAAAATTGGCATGGAAAGCCAATGCCAACAGAAAGAGCAGATGCAATTATCAAACTAATTGAGAGCCAAATAGAGACCAACAGACAGCTCACACCAAAATTCCCTGTTGAAGACTCGCCTTATGTCAACACCACCAATGTAGAGATGACCTCTCTGCCTGTTTACGAAGTCGGTGACAAGGTAAGCAAACTGCTTTGTTCTCTGCTTTTCTTTCTAAATACATGGGACTCTATTGACTCAGATATCCATGGATGAACCAATTATTAGGTGGTGTGACACCTAGTAAAGGTTATAAGCAATAAGGATGGGTTTACCAATTTTTTTTTACTATGTCTGATATTTAGTCTTTGATTTCAAACTTATATCTGAATTTTCTTATCAGTCATTTGCTACTTAGTGCCCAGCATTGTGTAGGTTTTGTTTGTTTCCTAAATTCAGTTTGTGAGTTGGCAGTCCACTGTGCATGAAAAAATTCTGTCTGCTCTAAGAATGGGGGCCTGGCTGGGCTGATCTTTTGAACTTTCTGGTTTACACAAGGAACCACGCCAATTAAAAAGACCAATTCTTGCCCTGACCGGTTTGGCTCAGTGGATAGAGCGGCCACCTGTGGACTGAAGGGTCCCAGGTTCAATTCCAGTCAAGGGCCAACAGGTCATCAGTTTGATTCCCGGTCAAGGCACTTGCCCAGGTTGTGGGTTGGATCCCAGGTTGGGATGCATGCAGGAGGCAACCAGTTGATGTTTTTTTCTCTCTCCCTCTTCCCTCCTCTCTCTCTCAAATAAAAACAAACTAGACCAAAGGAAAAACTATATAGATCAACCTCACTTATGACTATTAGTGTGAAAATTCTAAATAAAACAGTCACCGATTTCAACTCCATTAGTATACAGAGTATATGCAAATTAGTAATTTGGATTCATCAATATTAGAGAGGGGGAAATTATCATTTTGATGCATGGGAAACAAAAGCAATTCATAAAATTTATTCAATCCTGTTGTGTGTTTAAAAAACAACCACTGCCCTAACCAGTTTGGCTCAGTGGATAGAGTGTCGGCCTGTGGACTGAAGGGTCCCAGGTTCGATTCCGGTCAAGGGCATGTACCTTGGTTGCGGGCACATACCCAGTAGGGGTGTGCAGGAGGCAGCTGATCGATGTTTCTCTCTCACCGATGTTTCTAACTCTCTATCCCTCACCCTTCCTCTGTAAAAAATCAATAAAATATATTTTTTTTAAATACAACCACCACCTCTTAGCCCTGGCCAGTGTGGGTCAGTTGGTTGGACATTGCCCAGAGACCCCTTAGTCTGCAGGCTGATGCTCCAACCACTGAGCAACCCGGCCAGGGCTTAAGTTCTACATTTTAATGTTTACAGCTGAAAAGTCACAGAGGCATTTACATTTGGGGAATTTAAACTTTTTTTATCCTCACCTGAGGATACGTTTTTATTGTTTTTTTAGAGAGAGCGGGAGGGAAAGAGGAACATCGACTGGTTGCCTTCCGTATGCACTCCGACCAGGAATCAAACACAACCTTTTTGGTGCATGGGATTACGCTCCAACCAACTGAGCCAGCTGGCTAGCGCAAGGGAAATTTAATTTTTTTAACTATACAAATGGTACAGAAGAATAAATTTATTTTTGAGAAATTGATACCTAAGTGAGGCAAATATGCATTTAAGATTTGCTAGCAACCCATTTTTATGACCCTAAAGGAAATTATTGGTGAATCGCAAATTTGCTTTCTTCATTTAGATATAATACAATTTGTAATTCTACAAAATGTTCACCTCCTTTCTAAATCCATTCTAAGAAACTCTACTGTTTGACTTTTCCAGGTAGCTACTCGCAAAGCATGTGGTTTGGCTCTGGCTAAGCTGGGCCATGCCAATGATAGAGTCATTGTGCTGGACGGTGACACCAAGAACTCCACCTTCTCTGAGATATTCAAGAAAGAGCACCCTGAGCGCTTCATTGAGTGTTTTATTGCCGAGCAAAACATGGTGTGTATGCTGTGGGCATCCCTCTTGGGTCTTCTCATTGATTAGCAGTGGCCCACTGGACACATGAGTCCTGGCCCACATTACAGTTTTTCTTTCCATGGGTGGGGGTGGGGAGTCTCCAGGGAAACTGGTAGAGAGTAGCTGGGCAAAGTCAAAGGGGTAGTTTCCAGGACTGCTGGGAGGAGCATGGTAGACTGTTCAGCACCCTGTCCCGATAGGTCGCAGCCATCTAACCCCAAGGCTCCAAGCCCAAAACATCCTGAGTTCCGTAGTAGCTCTAGGTGGCCCTGCTCTTTCTGCCCTGCTTACAATTAAGCAATCCTACAGCCACCCAGAGGCTAGTAGGTTGAGAAAGCTACAACATACAATGATTTCTCTATTTCTTCACTGTATTGCAGGACCTAATATATCCTAGATATTAAAATGTTGTGCCAATTGCGGCCTCAAGAAGGCCAATAGAGAGCTGTGGTCTTGGGTAAAGTTGTTTGCTTATCTGTGCTTCATCTCTCCCTGGAGTGATATTAACGCAGGGAGTCTCTTTTAGATGGGTGCACACCCTCTTCTTAAAGAGAGAAAGGAGTTAATGCTAGTAAAAGTCTTGACTTCTGAAGCGCTGTGCCAGTAGAGGACAATGCACACCTGTCTTCACATTGTAGAGGCCAAAAACAGCACTGGCCAGAAAACTATGGGCCAGCAGGTCGTGCATGACCGCCAGAGATATTTTATTTGGAACAAGTAGTATTTACAAATTTTGTAATTAGTTGCAGGCTTTTAGAAACCAGATTTTATATAGAATCTGAACTTCTGGATTCTCTTCAAGAATGGGAAAGTCTGGCAACACTAGGATAGCATTTCCTCCTGCCACCAGTCAGCTGGAGCCATTTAGATGGGCTGTACCCCTGCCTCCCACCAGCCTGCTCATTCACTCACGGTGCTTCCCTGGCCCTGTCAGTGTTGGAATTTAAGGCCCCCTGTTCAGTAAAGTAGGTCATCACAATTGTAAGAATATGCACATTTTTTTCTGAGTCTCATTAAGCGATTTCCATTTTGAGTGGAAAAAATATAATCCATAATTTTCTGAACTGAGCCTCCTATCAAAAATCTTGCTCCCCGACTCATTGATGATTCCTTCAGTCACCAGTCATATGCTCTGTGCCTACTAATGTGTTCTTAGAGTTGGAAGAAGTACTAAAGAAGCAGCCAGCAGGTAGTATCCAGTACCATGGTGAAACAAGTGGGTAGTGAGAGTGTGACTAGCACCAGTCAGGGATAGCTTCAGAAGAGGTGACCTTTAAGCTGAGACTTAAGTGACAAGGAGTCAGTCATGCACAGCTCTGAGAGGTGGCATTCCCAGCAGAGGGCACAACTATCCCTGATAGGCTCAAAGTTGAGATGTTTGTGGGGCAGAAAAAAGGACAGAGTGGCAGAAGCATGGTGACTATTAGAACAAAATTGGTTCAGAAAGGTCACCAAGGGGCAAATTATACAGGGCTTTTGCAGGCCACAACCTCATGCGAGTTCCCAGTAGCGGGCAAATGAGGAAGGGTGTGACCGAGCCCTAGGACTCAGTCCAGTGTCCTTAGGGAAGAGGTGTGCGCCATCCACAGATGTAGCAGGAGCAGCAGCAGTCAGTGGGAAGGGGCATTGTCCTATGCAATGCTGCTGAGGTCAGATACAATGAAATGGAGGTCAGGCAAACTCTTGCATTTGGCACCTTCAAAGTCCCTTAAAGGCATGGTAGCCTAGAAGAAGGAGGCTAGGCAGAGAGTGGGGACAGGGAGAGAAGTTGTGAAGCTGGAGATGGGATTGTGAAGATGGAAGATAGCAGCACATACTCAAATGATGAGTAAACCCAAGAGAAGGAGAAACTGAATACGGAGGGGAGGGGATAATTACATAGTCAGAGATGCCCTTGAGAAAGGAAGAGAAGGATGAGATTCAGCATGGTGAGCAGGCCCACCATGTCTCCCAGCAACACAGTGGAGAGGCCGGTCAGGGGGCGGATGGGGGAGCCTCCATTGTTCACCTCTTATCCCCCAGGAGGTGTGAGGTAAGGGCACCAGGAAGAAAGGTGTATAGAAAGTATGGGAAGGACACCCACGAGGACTGAGGGGATGGCCATGGGTGTCCCAAGCTTTGCCTTTTTGCGTTTGAAGAGCCAGGCCAGCACCACAATTCCTCTGGTTTCTGGCAGTGTTCAGGGGACACTGTGGGTTTGCCAGGTTTGGGGTTTCCCTGGGTATGTGCCTGGGGTTGGGTATACAGAACAGGGTGTTATCAGGGGACCATGCATTACTGGTTAAGGGGAAAGGGGGGCAGCTAGGGGTGATGGGGGCCTTGTCCAGAGGTATTCTGATTCACTTTCTTGGTATTAACAGGTGAACGTGGCGCTGGGATGCGCTATTCGTGGTCGGACCATTGCTTTTGTTAGCACCTTCGCTGCCTTTTTGGCCCGAGCATTTGAGCAGATCCGTATTGGAACCATCATTGAATCCAACATCAACCTTATTGGGTCCCACTCTGGGGTATCCATTGGTATGAGTTCTCAATGCCATCATCTTGATAGCCTTTCTAGTTGACAGAGAAAGATGATTAATCTAAACGGTTAAATTGCCAATGTATGTAGGGTTTCATAGCATTTGATTATTTGTAACCACTTAAAGAAAAAACAAATGCTTTAAAAGTTCCAGGATACTCTGGGTAACTTTGAGCGGATCTCTTGATATTATTGTAAAATGCCCAGTCTTGCCGTCAGTGAGAAGAAGTAATCTGTCCTGAGTGCATCTTTAATGTCTAGCCACATACTGGGAATGAATAGGGCCACCCCAGCATTACAGAGTTCCTTTATGCTCTTGGTGTGGTCATGGCACAGGGAGGCAAGGAGCACAGCCTGTACTGGCTTTGCCTAGGTGGAGCAGCCTGGTGGGATGGAATGGGAAGCTGTGAGAATCCTGATGCTAGGGAGTGAGGCCAAGGAAGATGTCACTCTCAGGGCATTAACCTGGCAGGACATGCTAAATGGAAACAATGGGAAATGGGGAAGCCAGGAAGAGGGTTGAAATACGGTGTGCATTAGCAGTGGATGGAAGATAAGAGTGAATCTGAAAAAGTCTGAAGAAAGAGGTCACATTGCTGACAGATGGAGGAGTTCAAAATCACCTGGGAAACATCAGGGAATCATGGTCATGAGTGACAGAAATGAGGACTTGGGAAAGATGGAGGTGCCTGATGTACTGTGGTGGGGCAGGGCCCCTAGGTAGATGTGACAGCTTACAATTGCTGCTAGAATGCTGGAGGGGAGGGTGGGCCAGAAGTGAGCATTTTGGAGTTATCTCTGGGACTCCCTGGGAGAGCTAGACTGGCCAAGAAGTCTGGATGGGACACATGCAAGGGGGGGAGAGTGAAGTGAGAGGAGAGCCAACAGCATTTCAGGGTTGGCCTGGGCAGAGGGCCTAGTAGGGATTTGGGGGTCTTTGCCTGGAGCTAGGTATAGTGAAAGTTTCAAAATAAGTCAGCAACGTGAAGTGGCTCTAGGGCCAACCCAGAAGAGCTGGGAGTTCTGAGGTTAGACACTTATCCCAGGCAAGGCAGTGTGCATAGTGACAGTCTCCTTCCCAGCTCGAAGAGGCAGGCCACCCTAGTATACATTGGGCTTTCTCTTTTCACGGTGTTTCTGATCAGAAACTCTGTTCCCAAACAAACCCTAAGGTCTCCTTAGTTACAATAGCACCCCAAGGGTGCCCCCAAGGTATGTTATGCTCAGCTACCTTGAAGGCCTTAAGAAGTGAAGAAGACCACTTCAATCTAAAAACCTCAGTCTCTTGATGGAGAAGATAGAAGAGCAGAGAAGAAAAGACAAAGCTGAGAGGACCCTCTTAAGGGGACAGGGACAGAGACTTGATGGGGCCGACTCAGCCACCTGTGCTCAAGAAGAACATGAAGTCACCTTGGACAGCAGTAGCAGTGCCCAGTGATCAAGTGCCAGAGGTTGGCAAGGGTCAGGGCCAAGAAGAGATCACTGGTTGATCTGGAAGGTCAATTAGTCAAACCTCGAGTGTCACAGTGATGTCTTGAGGGAGATAGATGTGTGACAGCTCGTTATAATTATGAGGCATTATGACATACGAATTGGATAGTTTTGTAGGCTCTGCTACAGTTGTAGCCACCTTTCTCCCCCGCCCCCAGATGTCAATAAGAGCTGTTGCTTATCCAGCAGAGGAAGCGGTCCTAGCTTCTTGGTCTGTCTCATGTTTTTGTTGGGCTGTGGCTTTGTTTTCTCAGGTGAAGATGGCCCCTCCCAGATGGCCCTGGAGGATTTGGCCATGTTCCGAGCGGTTCCCAACTGCACCGTTTTCTATCCAAGTGATGCTGTCTCCACAGAGTATGCTGTGTTCCTGGCGGCCAATACCCAGGTATTTTTAGGGGCCACTGGTTCGGACAGAAAATGCTTCTGAGCTCTGCTACTAGTTTGGTACTGATGGTTGGATTTTTCCCATTTTCTCTCAGCATAAAGGTAATAGATATTCATTATAGAAAATTGGGTTGTAGGATTCCTTTTAAAAATAGAACCATTACCCAATAAAGGTGTTAAGCACATAAAACATGAACACATTCAAAGACAAATAGTGCAGAGGGATGCTGAACACCACCTGATGGCCCAGGACTTGGCAAGAAGAGGGAGCCTGGGGCTCTGAGGTAGGGAGCTTTTTGCAGGGCCCAAGGAGTGGGCTCCAGCAGTGAACCATCTTGTGCTGGCCTTAGACATACCCCATGCCACCACCTGTGACATCCAGAAAGCCGGAGAGTGGCCTGTGAGACTTCACTGCAGACAAACCCTAAGGTCCCCAACCTGGCTCCACCCTCAGAAACAGTACAGATGGGCAAGAGTGTGGCTTCTGCCCCACTTTCCCCTCTTGAAGTCTCACGCAAGGGCATCAGATGAACACAACCTAATTCCTGCCCAGAATCCAGTTACAGGGGCATCTGGGGGATATAGTTTTCACCTTTCCAATCATTCCAACTGTCACCAGACTCTCCTCACTACCCAGCCCTGCACCCAACCATACCCCTGCACAGGTGACTCTGGGCACAGTTAGGGTAGATTGTGGAAATTCCATTCTAAGCATTTGCAATGTGTTAGAGACATGTTTCTTTTTTTAATGTTTTTATTGATTTCAGAGAGAAGAAGGGGGGAGAGGGAGGGAAAGAGAAAAACATCAATGATGAGAGAGAATCATCAATCGGCTGCCTCCTGCATGCCCCCCACTGGAGATCGAGCCCACAACCCAGGCACACGCCCTGACTGGGAATCGAGCTGTAACCTCCTGGTTCAGGGGTTGACACTGAACCACACGAGCTGGGCTTGACCTTTTTTTTTCCCTTAACCTAAGTGGGCTCAAAGTTTATGTATGTTCTGTACTTGATTTTTTACTTACTATATCCTAGAAATTGTTTTATGCCTGTGTATATACATAGTGATCTCATGTGCTGGAGGATTCCATTTCTAGGAAGATCAAGAGGCAAAACAAAGCTGTGGTCACAGAAATCAGAACAGAGATTGTTGCTTGGGTACAGGAGAGGGGCACAAGGGAACTTTCTGGGCAGATGAATGCAATCTGGACTCAGGTGATGGTTATGTGCTATATACCTTTGTGAGAATTTGTGGATCGCTCCACTGAGGTAAATTTTACCTCAGTAAAGACACTGAATATAATTGATTTATAACATTGGGATGAATGAACAGAAGCTGTGTTTCTAAATCAATATATTAGTTTATAATGTATGATTTAAATATGTGCGTAGTCCTAGCTGGTTTGGCTCAGTGGATAGAGCATCTGCCTGCGGACTTGAAGGGTCCCAGGTTCAATTCTGATCAAGGACACATGCCCGGGTTGCAGGCTCAATCTCCAGTAGGGGGTGTGCAGGAGGCAGCTGATAATGATTCGCTCTCATCATTGATGTTTCTATCTATCTGTCCCTCTCCCTTCCTCTCTGAAATCAATAAAAATATATATTTTAAAGATATGTGTGTAAATTAAATACTTTAGACATTTGGATATTTATACTTCTGTTTGTGTTGATAAAAATGTATTTACATCTTACTGGGGAAATACTGAGTCACTTTATATTCCAGTGTTTAAGGTATTTCTAAGGTTGAATCATTACAAGCTATTGTGGAAAACATTAACTGTATAACATTGTGTTCTGACCTTTCTATTTAACATGAGCCAGTGCTCCTGCCCTAAATTTATGTTCTGTGTGTGGGGACAGAACAGGTCAGCGTGTATTTTTTAAATCAGTGAATGTGGCAACATGGAAAGCTTGTCACTGAACGCGTCGCCAGGGTTCTGCATAAGCTTTTGCCTGGCTCAGTAGTAACCTGACCAGGTGATAGCTGACTTGTTTGCCAGTGGTTTGCCCTTGCTCCAAAATGTGTGCTTTATTTTAGTAAAAGAACTATTCAGTCCTCCTCCTCCCTCCCTCCCTGCTTTTGTTTAAAGGTTTATTAGTTGGAAATTGAGTTAGACTTTCTAATAGTTCTGGTTTCTGTTTATACCCTAGGGGCTATGCTACATTCGGACCAGTCGACCTGAAACTGATGTTATTTACTCTCCAACAGAAATTTTTGAGATTGGAAAGGCCAAGGTAAGTCCTTAAGTTCTCCAGTGTTCTCTATGTCATTTCATGTGCAGATAACTATTCTAAAACTAGCACTAGGTATCCTCACAGTCAAGGCTTCATCCTTTCTTTGTTCTAGTTTTTAAAAAATCAGTTGTGACCTTTGCCTGCTTTTCCTCCAGAAGGAACATTTTACCAATATCAGCCAGAATTGAACTTGTCTCCTTTCTGAATGGAGTCTCTCTTTGTTGAATTTTTAAAGATAAAGCAATACAACTTGAAGGTACTTGAGTTGTTTGGCTATAACATCACACAGCCTCAAGCTAAACAGAATAATAGAACCCATTATTTCAAAGGAATAACAGATCTATGAGGTTCTGGCTTTGCATCCTCAAGGCCAGGAACAAAAGGAAATGGGAACCATCTTGCTGCTGGCAATTGTGTGGCCCTGAGATGGTTTTTGCACATTGGATGGGGCCTTAACCTGCAGACCTGCTGATAAAGGCTAGCATCCTAGGCACTTTCTATCTCCTGCGTCCTCACTAAAGCCCTAGAAGCACACATTGTTTGCAGCCCTGTTTTATAGATGAGGATCAGAGAAGGTGAGCAGCAAGAGATCATACTGCATAGGAAAGTTTTATGCCCTACTCTTACATGCCCTTTAGAAAGTCATTAATACTCTTCTTGACACGTTAAGTGCCATGTCAGTCACCGGTGACTGACACTATACTTTCCGTTTGGACCTCATCAGTCTCCAACCGCCAGCATATCGGTGAAAGCAGATATTGCGGGTTAAACGGAAAGGAAGACAAAACAGGCTTGGCGCTTAACGTGTTAAATATGTGAAAGACCAGTAGCCATTCTTGAAGGAGCAACAGGTGACATCCTACTTGGTTGCTAAGGGCTAGGCTGCTCCAGAATTTATAGTTGCTAGTGCTCAGAATGACTGTGACTGAGCACTGAGTGGCTTTAGTGCATTATATCCCCAACAGTCTATGCCTGCCACTAGGTAGCTGGCCAACACTGGGTGGAAAAGCTGCAGTATTCACCTTCAGTGTCCTACTATTCTCTGTTCTCCCACATTTAAACTCAAGGCCATATGTTTTCCTCTGGGACGTGAGGGTTTCAATGATAGTCAACGGTCTACAGAGCTTTCTCTTAACTCTCCGGTCTTTTTCCCCCCTAATATTTTCCCTACCCTAACAAAGTTAATTTCCTAATAGTAAAGTATGTGAGTTAAAATGTGTATGATAATATGCATGCTATGGATAACTCAAGGGCTGAGTTTTGCAGAAGAGACATAAGGGGAGTGTGTGTGTGTGTGTGTGTGTGTGTGTGTGTGTGTGTGTGTGTTGAGAGAGAGAGGGAGAGAGGCAGGCAGGCAGGCAGGCTAGGATATTCTCAGAGAATAGAGTGGCTTAGAAGCCCTGACTATACTGTCATATAAGAAAACCTATAAAGATGGCTGAAATGAAGATTAATTCCATATGCCTTTGGTTGGGGAGCTTTGAGGAAATCAAACTCTGAGAAAGGCCAAGGGCCCTGTCTTTGCTTGCAGAATAGCAAGTGATTGAGAGCATGGGCTTGACATCAGATGGGCCTGGTTGCTGTCTCAGCCCTAGGCAAATTCCTCCTGCTCTGAGATTTGCTTTCCTTGGCTGCAGAATGGGCCACAGCACACTCACGGCATGCAAGGGGCTTGGCACAGAGTGTATAGATAATGTCCTCAAACGGTCCCTGTTAACATGTTCACCAGTGGAGTTCAATCTGTTTATGCTCACCCAGCAAGATGTCCAAGCAGTCTAGAGATGGTGCCTCTCCAGACCCCTTAGTGGGTATGAGTCCATCCTCTGGCTGAATATGAGCCATACAACTCACTTCTGGCCCCTCTGTCTTTTAGATCCCTGTTTGATATACACCTTCTTGGTTAAAGGGTCCTTTTGTATTGTGTAAGAACTTAGTAATTTGGCACTGGAAATCATGAGGAAAGGTCGATTAATTTGTAAAACAAATATGAAGTGGGGGTTATCAAAAAGAGCATGTCATTTTTTCAGTGCTTTGATTCAGCCTTTTTTATAGTGAATTATTAATGAGTGGAATTGGGGAAGAGCAGTGTGTTAGAGTGTCTTCCACCTTGAGATGTGCTCTGAACATAGTAACCACAGCATTTTTGTTTTGCGGGTGCAATACCAGGTCATTCGCCAGAGTGTCGATGACAAGGTCACAGTTATTGGAGCTGGAGTTACTCTGCATGAAATTTTAGTGGCTGCGGATGAACTTTCCAAACAAGGTCAGTTTGTTGTTGTTAAATGTTGAAGTTCCAGCTGGGGAGAGGTGGGACTTGGGCTGCCTCATGTGCCCCAACTGGTGGTCTTATTCTAAGTCTGCTTCATATACCAAGCTGGTTATTGCTGTTCTCCAGGTACTCCTATCCGCGTCATTGACCTGTTTACCATTAAACCCCTGGATGCTGACACCATCATCGCCCATGCAAAATGCACAGGTGGCCGAATTATTACCGTGGAGGATCACCACCTAGAAGGTACGTCTTTTCAGAGTCTGCTTTGGCAGGACATTTTTGATTGGAGGCGCCCCGTGCTCCTGGGCATCACCAGCCACTTAACCTGTATTGCTGCTCTTCACAAGTATATCAGTTTAAGAGTCTCTTGGCCACCTACTCATTTGTGTATCCCCAGCACAATGTACAGCGCTTGGCCCCTCGGTGGCTTGGTGGCACCACAAAGGAGTGCCTAACTCGGCATTGTGGATGAGGAGAGTTCATGAAGAGCTTCACAGTTGCTCTTGAGTTTTGAACTATTAATAGTTTATGCCCCCCAAAATGGGAGCTGGGTAGTGTTTGGCCTGGGAAAGTTAAGTGGGCCAGATAAGGGGATGGGGAGTTTCATGTCAGGGGTCCCCAAGAGCACAGCCGTGATCCACAGTCTCTGGAAGCACTCCCAATGCCCTCACGGCTGAGATTTACCACAGGGAAAGGGCACAGGACCCACAAAGACAGGTCAGGGATGGAGAACCCCAGTCCTTAGGCTCCCTCCTTCCCTCCGTCCCTCCCTCCCATGAGGGGCCTGCCAAATACTCTCCCCTCTTCAGCAGTGAAAAATGCATCACTACAGACTCAGGGAACCCACCTGAGACCCAGCATCCTGGGTTTTATTGGGGGGTGGTCATGTGAGCCCCACCCCCGGGCCAAGCATGTACCAAATTTCCCAACTCCTAGGACTATTATAGAAACAGTCCAGGTGCAGGGAACACCATTATGAGTAGAGGAAATGTCATGTTGGCCGAGGGGACTTGCACCAGCCCATTGCCCAGGTGCCACCTGAGGGCCAACCTTGGCAAGTGGCCCTTCTGAAGCTGGTCACCTCAGGCCTGCCAGTTGCTCTTTTCTTTACAGTTCATTTGTTGATTTTAATCGTTTTGGGGATCCTGACAACTTTGAGTATCTGAGCTCCACAGTCCCCTGTATCCATGGAGCCCTGGTTGAGAGCCCCTAGTGTAGGTGGGGCTGGGAGCAATTTTGGAACCTACAGTGTAGAATGAGAACTTCTGGGCAGTCGGGAATGACTGTTTCCATGAATCAATACTAGTGAAAAGTCTTTCTCCTGGGAACCAGCAAATTCAAAGGCCTGTATATCATGGGGCATTAAGGCTGACTACCCATTTCCAGAACAGAGCCTAACATCCCTTGCTTCCCCAGGTGGCATCGGGGAGGCTGTGTGTGCAGCTGTTTCCATGGAGCCCGACATCCTGGTGCACAGCCTGGCAGTGCAAGGAGTTCCTCGGAGTGGAAAACCGAGTGAACTACTGGATATGTTTGGAATTAGTGCCAGACACATTATAGTGTCTGTGAAATGTATGCTAACAAACTAAAATAGCTGGTGACATCTCTACATTCATACTTGTTGACAAACCAGCATTTAAATCTATACTGTTTCTTCTTTCTTGTTAAAACAAATTAACTACCTTCCAGTTAAGCCATAACTACGTATACAAGTTTTACTCACATGTTTAAGCAATTAAAATGGGTTTTAAGATTTTAAGTGATAGAATGGCTTTCAAAACAACCACTTAATAGGAAGTTTTATGATGAAACTAACCGATATCTGGTCTGGGGATCAACCTTAAGTAATAGTATCTTAAATGTGTGTGTGTTTTTCTCATAAGTAAAGAAAATGTGAACTGTAGACTGTAACCGCCTGGGTTGTGCAGCACCACGCTGCACACTGCTGTCCCAGGCGGAGAATGTATGTGCTGCCATCCTACCTGCAGCTTCCTGGGTACTGTGTGACTGCAGAGGCTCTGGAATTTCATCTCCCCTGTTACGGTGCGTGAGGCAGTAGTGAAAGCTCTTAGACTGTCCTTTGCTGCTTGAGGTGACTCGTCTATGAAGAAAGAATACAACTAGTTCTAGTATACACACTGCACTCTTGTGAGGTCTCAAATGTCTCATTTGCCCAGTTACCAGACCAAACTGTTAACTCTTTTCTATTCATTTACTTGTTAAAAGTTAATAAAGCATTCAAAAGCATTTGTGCCTTGTATGTGTGATTTGGTTTTTCCTGGATAAAATCCTCAGTAAGGAAAAGCGCTTCTATCTAAACCAGGAGAAAGGGTACTGAGCAGGAGGTGCGCCACTAGAGGACAGTATATGGCCTGAAAAGCCATCCCTGAGCCAACTCCTTATTTCAGCTGTAAGTACATGAATCATGTGGCTAAAATACAAGAAGGAAGTACCAGCCAGATAAAGATGGGCTCAAACTTCAAAACTAAATTTAAAATTGACTGGATGTGTCTTGGTGTGTCATGGTCCTTATTTTTATTGCTTTCATTAACTGGTCATTAGGAGTCTTTGTCCTGGGATGTGAGGTAGGGACTGAAGAACTGGCCTGGCACTCCAGAGTCTTCCTTGGGGGCCTACTCATTCTGCTCCTGCCCTTTTAAACCGCTGAGCTCATTTCCTGGCCTGTAAAATTAGTATATTGTGCTTATTTTATAAGATTCCAAAAAAATTGGTTTAATAAAGAATTGATATGATTAATACAAATATCAAACAAAAATTTAAAAATCAAACTTATTAGCAAAAATCAGTTGATAAAGGGTCATTATCGGAAGTTTAGAAAATGCACATACACAAAAAAGATTTTTACCTCAAGCATCTCATACTCCATACAATTTAACCCATTAAAAGTATACAATTCAGTGGTTTTAGTATATTCAGAGTTGTTGGGCAACCATTACCGTGGTCAATTTTACATTTGCATCACACCAAAAACGCTGCATTGCTTAGGAGTCGCTTCCTACTCTCCCAGCCACTGACAATCACGTATTTTCTGTCTAGGATTTGCCTATTCTGGACATATATATGAATGAAATAATATGTGGCCTCTTTGTGTCTGGCTTATTTCACTTAGCATAATGCACTTGAGGTTCATCCACATTATAGCATCTGAAAGAACTTCCGTTCTTTTTAAGGCCATGTAATCATCCTCTGTACAGACCACATTTTATCCGTTCATCACCTGATGAACATTTGAGTCATTTTTACTTTGTTTACCATGAATAATGCTAAGAACATTTGTATTCAAGTTTGTCTGTGGATACATAGGGTGTCCCAAAAAATGTATGCACACACTTTGAATAATTACAAAAGGTAGTGTTTATTAAAATACATTTCAAAATTGAGCTATCAGCTGTCACAGGGTGTATACATTTTTGGGGGGGACACCCTGTATATTTTCACTTCTCACGTGTATACAAACCTGGGAGTAGAATTGCTGAGTCATATGGTAAATGTTTACTCTCTTGAGTGTCTGTGTGTGTGCGTTTAAACAGTTTTGTGATGAGTGAATCAGAATGACTGACATGAAACCAGAATGTGTAGCTATGTACTAGCACCACATTTGCTTGAATTCGGGTGTAGACTGCCCCTATCTGGTGAAACCTAAAACAGAAACAGTGTAGATACCATCCATGATTAAAGTGCCTGGACTCAGGCCCCCTCAGGTGCTGTGAAAGAACAGTCGGACCTATCTTGTACTAGGCACTGAGAGAAACCATGGTCACTCAGAGAAAGCAGTGCCCTGTGGCCAGCTTGGGCCAGTTACAGCTTTTCTGAGTGCAGAGTAGCCAAGGGGTGGGGGAGGACAGGCACACAGTAAACTGGCATAGGCACTGAATGTTCCCTAATTGTTCTGGAGCCATGGACCCTTGTCCCTGAGTCTTCAGAAGCCTCCTTGCCGCTCTGAATCCCTTCCATGGAAGAGTGGTACTGGGGGTGGGGGTGGGGGGGAGTGGCCCGCTGCTTGGCCTTCATCCCCAGGTGGGCTACTTGTTGGGCTGGTGGGGCAGTGACTAGGTAACCCACTTTGCCTGTTTCATCTGTAAAAGGGGATGCTGCTGCTCATGATGGCGATAGTATCTATCTCACAGGCGATAGTATCATAGTATGGCCAAGATTTCAGAAGTGCCATCGACATGAGAACCGCCCTGCCTTCCTGACCCGTTCCTCCTCCCCAGCCCTGGCTCGGCCCTCCGCCTGCCCCAGCCCCTTCCTGGCCTCACAGAGATTGTCCAGGGCTCAGCGGCGGCGAATCAGCCCGTCTTTCCCCTCCCTGGCCACCCCGCCCCTTCTCTGCAGCCTTGGCTGCTCACATTCCCCTCCGAATTGCCTGTGCTTTTACTGGTGCGCCCTCTACCCACCATTTGACAGCTTCGCGCCGGCCCACGCCTGGCCTGCCTACCCGGGGCGGGCACGCCAATCCTTCTGTGGGCGGCAGTGCAGGCTACGTCATTGGGTTTTGTTCCGTCACTCATTGGGACTCAGCCAATCAGCGCCGCCAGCGACAAACTGGGCGTGGAGGGCAACACCAGAGGAGCAACACCCACCAGCGTGTGGCTGGAGCCGGGCTGGTTGCACGCGCCCCGGCATTCCTGGGACTAGGGTTAGGCGGCTACCCTGACCCCAGAAACGAGGCGGACATGGACACTTGGTTCTAACCGCAAGCTGACCGGCAATGGAGAGCAGAGAAAAGGGAACGCTCGGGTGGAATGGAGTTGTAAGGGCTAAGGGTGCAGAGGAGAGGAAGGTAGTAGTGGCTTTTTTCATCCCAGGCCCTCCCGGACTCCTAAAGAGGAAGGAAAGTGACTCAGAGCTCTGAAGCAAGTGGGGCCTGGCAGCTGAGTTCTCTAGGTAGGGCATGCCCACCCACAGGCCGTTGTGGTCTTATTTGCCACAAGAAAGTAAGAGAGGGTGCCTTCTATGTCCCCACTGTGATACCGTGCCCTGCCAGGCCATGCTTGGGATCAGAAAAGCGGTGGCCTGGAATTCAGGAATCCTGAAATGGTCCCACGTGCGATTCTCTGTTTAGTGAGGAGAACAAACAGCAGTTACAGAACACTCGGAGTAAGGACGCAGGAGTGCACCAGGGCTGTAGAGGCAGAGATGCAAAAAGATCCCGCCCTTAGTGTATGCCTGTGTCCCTGAAGCATGCTGTGACTGGTCCCTAGTTTGGGGTCTAATGGCAACAGGGGGTGGTTGCAAAGGATTTCAAGGACAGCGGGTGTCCCCTTGCAAGACACCTGCTCAAATGAAGTAATGACACAGCCCTCCAGCAATGGAACACCAGTCCCAAGACACAGGAAAGCAGCCAACTTTCAACAGAAGGGCGGCTCAGAGGCACTGGGGGCTTCCTGGTGGTCCGTTTCAATTAGGATAACCAGATGTCCCGGTTCCAGGTATCAGGATCCCGCTCCTCTAACCACTGCCCTACCTTCTATCTCTCTCTCTCTCTCTCTCTCTCTCCCTCTCTCTTCCTCTCTGAAATCAATAAAGAGAGAGGGAGAGAGAGAAACATGGAGAAAGAGGGAATTCAAATGACATTGGGATTCTGTAACCCACACAATTAAACATTGTGTTTGATTTTCAGCACTGTCAGTCCTACAGATAAAGAAGTGCGGGAATTTTCAGGGCTGTCATTGAGGTCATCTGCTTGTCTGTCATACTGTGACTTGAGCAGAGAGGAAAGGAACTGGAGCTTGAAAATTATGTATAGATAGATAGATAGATAGATAGATAGATAGATAGATAGATAGATTTTTACAGAGAGGAAGGGAGAGGGATAAAGAGAAACATCCATGAGAGAGAAACATCGATCAGCTGCCCCCTGCACACTCCCTACTGGGGATCGAGCCTGCAACCAAGGTACATGCCCTTGACTGGAATCAAACCTGGGACCCTTCTGTCGGTGGGCTGACACTCTATCCACTGAAGCAAACCGGTTAGGATATGAATATATTTTTTAAATATGTTTTTATTGATTTCGGAGAGGAAGAGAGAGATAGAAACATCCACGATGAGAGAGAATCATGGATTGGCAGCCTCCTGCATGCCCCACACTGGGGATCGGACCTGCAACCCTGGCATGTGCCCTGACCGGGAATCAAACTGTGACCTCCTGGTTTACAGATAGATGCTCAACCACTGAGCCACTCTGGCTGGGCTGGGGCTTGATTATAAGGGGTTGGCAGACTGAATGTGCAAAACGGGATACCGCAGTAGCAGAGACAGTACAGGAAGAAGCTGCCGCCCCCACAGCAGGGGAAGAAGAGAAGTTGGTGTCATCAGAAGCCTAGGAGCCAGGATGGGGGGCGTTGAAGAGCCAGAGCCGGGATCTCTGAGGAGGAGCTGCTGCAATTTTTCAGGGAGAGCAGCAGCAGCAGCTAAGAGGGAGCAAGGCAGGAGGTAATTTCCAAGGCACCGTCTTCAGGTCACTGATTCTTTGGTGGCATCTCTTTGTGTCTTAATCCACCTGTTGAGATTTTTATTTCAATGCCTATGTGTTTGTACTTCTAAAGTGGTTTTTCAAGTCTGCCTGGGCTTTTAAAATTATTTTTTATCTTTTTTTTCTTTTTAATCCTCACCCAAGGATATTTTTCCATTGATTTTTAGAGAGAGTGGGAGAGGGAAAGACAGAGAGAGATATTGATGTGTCTCACATCGATTGGTTGCCTCCTGTACATGTCCTAGACCAGAATTGAACCAGGGACCCTTTGGTCCACAGACTGGCGCTCTATCCACTGAGCCAAACCAGCTAGGGCTATTTTTTATTCCTTCTTTTGTATCTTTATTTTGTTGTCTCTCAGAAGCCATTGGAGATTCTGGCAGTTACAGTAGCTTTATATCACAATAATGCAAACAATTCATAAATATCCATGAGAAACGCTTTCTGGTCTTATGAAAATTCAAAGGTAATATCAATCTGTATTTCTAAGTTCCTTCTTAAAAGGTTGACTATCATCCTATGAACCAGGAGGTCACAGTTCAATTCCCGGTCAGGGCACATGCCCAGGTTGTGGGCTTGATCCCCAGTGTGGGGCGTGCAGGAGGCAGCCGATCGATGATTCTCTCATCATTGATGTTACTATCTCTCTCCCTCTCCCTTCCTCTATAAAATCAATAAAAATCTTTTTTTTTAAAGGTGGTTCTCTTTCTCACCCTCCCCGCTTCCTTATG